CAGATCAATCAATATTAATCTTAGCTAAAATAATTTAACTTGTTTCTTAAAAACACATTTGCTTTTGTATGTAACAGCAGCTAAGTATTGAAAATCAAAGAGCAAATTATAAAACAGGATTAACCAAATATTAGGAAATTTTTACAGATGTTTGCTGCATCGATGGGGTAGGATATTTGCATCATCAATAAACTAATTCTTTTATTATTTCAAAGTAAATAATTTAGGTTAGAATATTTGTTATTGACATTTTAATCTTTTTTTCAAATCATACATTTGACAGTTATTTTTAAAATGTTTAAATGTTCAAAGAAAAATTACTAGAAATAGAAAAACTAATGTGAAAAGTAACAGCCCTCAAGACTTCCATCTCCCAGAAATAACTACTGTTAATAATTAGGTAGTGTTGCTACCACATTTTTGCTATGAGTGTACCAAAGTGAGTTCGTAGGAAGGTACATTGTGTTTTATAGCTAGCATTTTTCATTAACAGTGTGTTTTTGGCATCTTTGTTCTGCCTTATTCTTTTTGTCAGCTGTTTGATATTCCATTTTATCAATATGTTATTATTTACCTAAGCAGTCCTTCATTGATGGATGAGTTGTAATGTTCCTGATGTAGAAAATTCCTAATTATTATGCTGAAATGAACATCTTTGTTCATTTGGGCACTTATGTAAATACTCTTAAAAAGTAAAGTTCTAAGACAAAATATATCAATAAGGTTTTTTAAAATTCTTTTCTTTTATTTATTTATTTATTTTTTATGAGACAGGGTCTTGCTCTGTCGCCCAGGCTAGAGTGCAGTGGTGCAGTCATGGCTTATGATAGCCTCGACCTCCTGGGCTGAAGCCATCCTCTTGCCTCAGCCTCCCGAGTAGCTGGGACCACAGACGAGAGCCATCATATCCAGCCAAGATTATGTTTTTATTTTCATTCTTTTTTTATGTTTACTAGATGTTTATAATTATTTCATTAATTGCCTATTAATGTATTTCTCCGTTTATTTCAGTTTCATTTTTCCCACTGGTTCATTAGCCTTATTTGTGTACATATTGCTTTGTTATTTGTTCATAGGTTTTGATTTTTTTTTCCTCTGGCTTCACATTTGGAGTCATTCTGAAAAGAATCTTTGCTTTTCAAAATTAAAAATACAGGTATACATTTTCTCTGGTACTTCTATTTTTTCTTTTTCTTTTTTTTTTTTTTTTTTTTTTTTTTTTTTTAGACAAAGTCTCACTCTGTCACCCAGGCTGGAGTGCAGTAGCACAATCTCAGCTCACTGCAACCTCTGCCTCCTGGGTTCGAGCAGTTCTCTGCCTCAGTCTCCCGAGTAGCTGGGATTACAGGTGCCTGCCACCACGCCCGGCTAGTTTTTTTCTATTTTTAATAGAGGCGGGGTATCATCATGTTGGTCAGACTGGCCTTGAACTCCTGACCTTGTGTTCCACCCGCCTCAGGCTCCCAAAGTGCTGGGATTACAGGCATGAGCCAACGTGCCCTACCTATTTTTTCTTTATTTTCCATTTACGTCTTTGGATCCAACTGGAATTTATTTCATCTTGAGAGTAAGGTACAGAGTCTAGCTTTACTTTAAAAAAAAAAATAGTTATTATTCTGTGTAAACTTGGACAAACATAAAACCCCAAAAACAAATAAGAACACCTCATGGATTGAGTTAGGGATAATTGACATTTTTCACAATATTGAAGCTTATTCAGGGACACAGTGTCTCCCCATCTTCATTCCTCAAGTCCTCCCATCTACGTGGCACCTCCAGCCTCCCAGGTGGCTGCTCAGGTTGGAAGCCTCAGATTCCTCTCCTCTCTTCATACTCCGTCCTTGGAACAGGTTTTAGAAATATGTTCCACAGTCCGGGCACAGTGGCTCATGCCTGTAATCCCAGAACTTTGGGAGGTCAAGGCAGGTGGATCACCTGAGGTCAGAAGTTCGAGACCAGCCTGGCCAACATGGTGAAACCCTGTCTCTAATAAAAATACAAAAACTAGCTGGGCATAGTGGTGGGTGCCTGTAGTCCTGAGAATAGCTTGAACACGGAAAGCAGATGTTATAGTGAACCGAGATTGTGCCACTGCTTTCCAGCCTGAATGACAGAGCAAGACTCCATCTCAAAAAAAGAAAAAGAAAAAAAAAAAGAAATATGTTTCACATCTGCTTCTTCCTGTCCCTCCTGTGCCACCACCTGGCCATACCGCCTTGGTCCCTTCCTGGAATGTCGCTGGCACTGACTGGTCTACCCACCGACTTCTGTGAGCCCTTCCCCTTGTCATAACACAGCAGCCAGACTGATCCTTCCCCAACATGTCATCCTCTCCTCAGAAGCCCTCAGATGGGTTCACGTCTTGGAACAGAAGCCAGGTGCTCTGCAGTGGCACACATACGCCGCTCTGCAGTGGGATATATATGCTGCTCTGCAGTGGCACACATACACTGCTCTGCAGTGGGATATGTAGGCTGCTCTGCAGTGGCACACATATGCCACTCTGCAGTGGGATACATACGCTGCTCTGCAGTGGCACACATATGCTGCGTGTGGGTCTGCCCTGTGGGGACATCACCCGTGCAGACACATGTGTGTGCCTCCCGTGTTCCGCCCAGCACTCCCTGGTGCACTCCAGGCTCTCACACATCTGAGTGAAGGGAAGGCCAGCACATTTCTTCCGTAGTTAACATCTAGCTACTTGAGTTGTTTGTTTTGTGCTTTTAAGAATTGTAGGTAGCGGGCCGGGTGCAGTGGCTAACACCTGTAATCCCAGCACATTGGGAGGCCGAGGCAGGTGGTTCACCTGAGGTCAGGAGTTCAAGACCAGTGTGGCCAAACATGGTGAAACCCCGTCTCTAATAAAAATACAAAAAAATTAGCCAGACGTGGTGGTGGGTGCCTGTAATCCCAGCTACTCAGGAGGCTGAAGCTGGAGAATCACTTGAACCTGGGAGGCAGAGGTTGCAGTGAGCTGAGATCGCACCAGTGCACTCCAGCCTGGGCAAAAAGAGTAAGACTCTGTCTCAAAAAAAAAAGAATAAAAAAGAAAAAAAGGAAAAAGAATTGTAGGTAGTCACAGATTTTTTAATTTGTCAACTATCAATTCACTGACTTTGTTTCTCATAGGTTTCAGTTGACTGACTCGGATTTTTAAGTTAGGTGGTTATATCAGCTTCAAATAATGTAATTTTTATGCTTGTAAAAATATGTATGTGCTTAGCAATTAAATGATTATGTGATTTTTTTTTTAGTTGTATTGTTTTTTAGTGTTTAAGTAACTATTTCCTAGTTAAATTTCCAATTGTTTGGAATCCTTTTTTTCTTATTCATCTCCAGTTTTGTGCACAGAGGGTGGGTGTGGCATTTGTGATCTATTATTGTTAATGGTCTCCATTTAAAATCATTTTATTGGCTGTGATTTCCTTGCGATGTGAAACCTATTTTAATGCAGCGTTTGCTTTTCTAGCTGCAAAAAATTGTTTGAAGAAAGATAATGAGAAATGGGGACTCTAATTGGCCTACAGTTCGATAGAAGAAAACTAAGTCTACCCAAACACGATAGTAGCCACTGTTTTCTCTAAACTAGGAAAAAGCAGCAGTAGAATTGTTGATTAGTCTTGCAGAAGGCTATAGTTCTCGCTGCCATCCGGTTTTTCAGCCTAAAAAACAGGTATGCCAAATGCAGGGTGCTGGGAGGGGTGTGTACGTCTCTGAAACCACCTGTCTTTTGCAGAGATGCTGGAAGGGTGCAGTTGCCTGCTGAGTCAGACTTTGAGTTGGGCAGATCCAGCTTTCTAGCCAGCGTGGCGCTTGCTGTGGCCCTGGCCTGGTTGCTCAGTCTTCTGAGCCTCAAGTTCCGTGTCTCGCAGTTGAAAGTAATGCAGTGCTGATGGCACTGAGGTTTTTAGTGTTAAATGGATGAGCACTGGGAAGTGTTTTTGCTGAATCCCCTGGCAGGCTTTTATTGCTGTAGGCAGTAACGCAGAGCTGGGAGCAGTTTTTATTTGTCAGTGGTGAGTAATGTCAGTTTTTCTTCTCCTACACGGACTAGCTTTTGTTAACTTACTGAAACAAACAATTTTTTAAGCATTTCTGCCAGGAAGTTCCAATTTGGCAATCAGCGAAGGTGCTTTATTCTGCATACGGGAGGATACAAGGGTAGTGCAAGGGGATGAAAGAGACAGTCCCCAAGAATATAAGCATCGTGACAGCTGTGCAGGTGAAAATGCATAAATGAGACTACCTCTAAAAGGAAGCTGTAAAATCAACACACAGCGGGTCAGGAGAGATTTGCAAAGGCGCTTTAAAGAAATGGTGCCTTGAGAAGTCGGAGGCCTCCCTTAAGGAAAATACTATCAGAAGGGGGTTGTCAGCAGTGAAGTTGGGAAAACAGCCTCCTGGAGGTGTGGCTTGGAGGCAGAGCATCGGGCTGCACTGGTCGGATGCCATTCCCCGTTGGCGCCACAGACCAGCTTTACCAGTGGGGATGGCCGTGCTTTCCAAGTGCAAGCCCTTAGGAAGGTAGAGGTGGGCAGGTAGGGAGGAGGGAAGATTTAGGAAGGAAGAGGAGCTTCAAGAAGGCAGCTTTGTCTTCCAACCAGAGCTGCTGAGGCTCCAGACCATCCTCTCCTGCGCCCCACGGTGGCTATTTGGGTCCTTACCACTTCCTGTCCCCCTCCTGGCATCTCACAGGTATTCAGGCAGCTTAGCATCCTGGGCTTCGGTTATTTCTGCTGTTGAGACCACTCACGCTCCGTGGTGTCAGCAGCCACGTTTGACTTGCTCATGTGCTAGTGGGTTAGAAATGGGGAGCATCTGCTGAGGGATCTGTCCTGTGGCCTGGCCTGGGTGTGGACGGCTGTGGTCCCCCAGGGCTTCGTGGATGTTGCGTCTGAGAAGACTGGAAGTTGGCCAGAGGCCTCATGGGGACAGTCTCAAGGTGACAGAGGCTGCACCCCGAGAGCGGCCTGAACTGGAGAGGCACCTGCGCCTCTGACATGGCTTTGCATAACACGCAGCATCTTCACACCTGCTGTGTTCTGCTGGTTCCAGGCCAGTCGCCAGAGCTCGTACAGATTTGGTAGGGTCCTCCCTCTCAATGGCAGGTGTCAAAAGAACCTGTGGACATGGTCATAGCCACCCCAGACGTTCACTCCCTACCAATTCCCTGGTAGTTTCCCCAGCCTTCCCCCATCTGTACTGAAGAACTGACATCCACCATCTGGTTTTAAAATGTTTAGAATTTGTAATAATTTTATAGATACATATTTTCTAGAGAGTGATGTAACATCCATAACAATCTAAAAACAGATTTTCTAGGAAGTTACCGTGAAATCTACAAAGTCAATAAAACATTTCATCTCAGGTGCTGAGCTTTGAGGAGAGTATCAGGTTTCGGGCTCTGCTGCCTTTCCCCAAAGAACTCACTTGGGAAGCAGTCAGGTACGTGGCATCCTGGGGCCTGGTTGACATCAAGCTTGTCTGGTACTGTTAGTTTCAGCAGCATTTCTTCTTTAGCTAGGCTGTTGGAAGATAAAAGGGGAAGGAGGAATTTCTGGGCCTTGGTGACTGTGAGGAGCTGCAAGTGATGCTGAATGCGATCTTCCAGCTGGCCTGGGGCCCTGGTGGAGACTGAACATGGAACGAGAGGCAGGTTTTGAGGGTAGACAATGGCTCCATGAGAACTACTGAGTAGGCAGAAAGAAAGATGGGTCTGAAGCTCAGGAGAGAAGTGGGGATGGAGGCATGCATTCTGGAATCGTAGACAACAGCAGACATACTTGTTCAGCAGGAGGAATACGCAGGTGGTTCATCGTCTCGTCATCAGTCATCATTGGACTTTGCTTTTGGCTTAGGGCATCGTTTCTTTCTCCACTGTCCCGTGATGGTGGCTTTTTACATTTTATATTTGGGGAAACTAAGATTCACAGTCAGGTTGCTGCTCAGTGAACCATTAACTATTATTGTGCATGGGCACTAATGTGGACATTTTAATTGTCATGTATCTTTAAATATTTTCTATTTTTCAGATTAGAAGATAATTCTGAAACAAATGCCAGCCACTCTTTAATTACAAAAATGACGGATGAGCTGTATCACCATGTGCCTGAGAATCATTGTGTTTTAAAGGACTTGGATCATCTTCCTACTGAGACGTAAGTTCCAGGACATCCTGACAACTGTTGAAACATTGATTCTGCAGATTAGCATAGCAAACTTAGACATTTTCTATGTTTTAGATTTTATAAAGTAGTCTTAGAATACCACTGTTACTACTCCAAGAGGAATTATGAGATCAGTTTTGACAATCTCTGTGAAAGCGTGGCACATCTGATGAGGCTGTGAATGTCACATTCTGTTTGCCACAATTCAGTGTATTTAATTAACACTTGCCGTATGTCACGGTTGTCCCTGCAGACCCACCAGTGATACGCAGCTAGCCCTGGCTCCCAGAAAGCCGCAGCCTTGCAGGTACAGGAGAGTGAGGTACAGGTGAGGATCACAATGCCTGCTCCGAGTCTGGCTCTGTTTGCAGGTGGCCCCAGCTGCTCCGTGAGCTCTGCAGCACACCCTTTCCTACCCTCTTCTGTCCCAGGATTGTGCTGGAAGTGCTGGTTGTGTTCCAAAGCATCAGCAAGCAGTGTCACCACGTGTCTTGCCTCGGAGCTGAGACACAGGCAGTGGGTGGAGAGGATGCTGCCGTCTCGCCAGCGGCTGAACTACCTGCGTATGTGGAGTAGGTGCGCGCTCACTTTCCTGTTTTGGAGGGACACTGTGGGGCAGGAAGTCATCACAGATGCAGTTCCAGTCCCCACTGAAGACACACACAGTAGGCCCCTCACTGAACCCATCGACAGGTGTTGATATACTTGGAGTTCACAACTGATAGTATGAACCCAACGTATCTGAGACAGGTCTCAATCCTTTTAGAAAGTTTACTTTCCCAGGGTTAAGGATGTGCTGTGACAGCCTCAGGAGATCCTGACAGCATGTGCCCCAGGTACTTGGGGTGCAGCTTGCTTTTATACATTTTTATACATTTTAAGGAGACATAAGACATCAGTCAGTAGGTGTAAGGTGTACATTGGTTCCATCTGGAATGGCAGGAAAACACAAAGGTGGGGGGCTTCCAGGTTATAGGTGGACAAGAGACAAAGGATTGCATTGTTTTGAGTCTTTCATAAGCCTTTCGGTGAATACACAATTGACTTGTGAGTGGGGGTAGAGGAATAGTGACTTACACCTTAGTGTGGCTCAGTGAAGCGGCATTTTACACAGGGCAGAGGAAGCAATCATATAGGTATTTGTGTCAGGTGAGCTGAGGGATGACGCCCTGTCCCACCCCTGGGAAGATCAGCTGGCAACTGCATTGCCAGGGTGAAATTCAGCAGAAGTCTTTCTGGGTAGAGATCTTGAGGCCCACGAGGCATTTCCTTGTGGACAAACTGTGAGGGAGGTCTGTATGTAGCTTTTTTCTCTTGTAGCCACCTTATTTAGGAATAAAATGGGAGGCAGGTTTGCCTGAGGCAGTTCCCAGCTTGACTTTTCCCTTTGGCTTAGTGAGTTTGGAGTACTGAGATTTATTTTCCTTGCACGGTGGAAACAAAAGTTAAGTTCCCACAGCATGTTTCTGGTCATAAAAATATTGCCAAACTTCTAAAGAAAGACCCAAAACACTTACAGTGTTAAACATTGAGGCACATGTGAGCTCTATGGACATTTAAGAAAGATGAATAAAAACAAGTGAGAACTACTCAGTGTTTGGCGAGGCAGTGAGTGACGGCAGTCCGGCAGTCCTGTGGTGGTTAAATGAGGCAGTAAATGTTTGCAGAGCGAGACCTCCCCAGGCCCGCCCCCTTCCCCCCACCCACAGCTCCAGCACCAACAGAAACAAATGTGTGGGTCACTGAGCACTTTTGTACCGACACGCACTGTCGAGCACTTGTATGATGATGGTAGACTTTACAAGTTCTTATAATTTGTATTCATTCATTCATTCATTCATTCATTCATTCATTTTCCAACCTGTTCATTCCAGTTCAGAGTTGTGGGTGGCTGGAGCCTATCCCAGCAGCTCCGGGTACAAGGCAGGACCCACCCTGGATAGGACATGGTTCCTTCGCAGGGCCAGTCACACACCCACACTCACTCTGGGACCATGGAGATGCGCCAGTTCACCTAATGTGCACGGCTCTGGGATGTGGGAGGAAACTGGGGGATGGGAGAAAACCCATGCAGAACGTGCTTCTCCACACAGACCGTGGCCCTCACGGTGTATCGATTTCCTTTCTCACTGATGTTGTGATGAAACGGTGTTGAATGAAATGATGTTATCTGAGGACTGTGAGGACTCCCCATGCTGATTTTCATAGAAAGTTATAGTACATACTATTTTAAGTAGTGTTTGTAATTTGGCCTATGGAAATGTGGGTTCTATCTACCTAAATAAATATTTGGATTTAAAGTATAACAGCAGATTAACTGGATTTGGATTTAAAATATAACAGCAGATTAACTTAATAGCAGAATAACAGCATTATGGTTCCTTCACTTACAGTGTATATTTTAGAATGTGCTACATCCTTAAGAAATGACCATTTTGGATACATTTCTAGAACTTTTGGGTTTAGTGGTATCTGTGTTTTTAAAGCTTTAAATAGATATCACTGGATTCCCCTCCAGAAGGGTACTACTTAATTTACACTCTTACCAGCAGTTTATAAGACAAGGTCATTCTCTTATTACCACTCTCCAAAACCAGAATATTTTTAAATGTCTCAACTAGTTTCATGGGAAAAATAAGATCTTACTTTACTTGGGATTTCTTTAATCTGGTGGCATTGAGCCTGCTTTCATATTGAGGCCATTTGTTTTCCTCTGGTGAGAGTCCCTCCCTAGATGTCAGAGGGCAGGTAGCAGGGGGGCTGCTGGGCGCAGACTGGGCCTGCCTGTGCCCCGTGAGTGTGCAGAGCCCCTGGCAGCCCTGACGTAGACCGTCAGATGTCTGAGAGTCTCAGATGATGACTGATGAGCAAGGAATGCGGATGTGCAGGATGGGCCGGGAGCAAGGGCTACACGGGGCACTCCCGCCAGCCACGGGCCTGGGGGCTGGAAACAGGTATTGGGCTCTGAGGATTAGGAAAATTATTTTTTGAGAAGTTGGGACTTAAGGATGTTGATGAGGTGAAACATCTTTTTCCGGATGAAGGTGGAAAATACCAACATTCCTCACGTTTGAATTTACTTTCATCTGTTTTTAGTATCAGAATACTGTCCCCTGTGCTCGCCTGATCCTGTTCCTCATTACACTGGAGTTGGTCAACGTTCATGCTGTTCATGGGAAGAATGCGCGTGAGTATCAGCAGTACCTAAAGTGAGTATGTTCCACTTCTCTGTAGTCGCATTGCATCGTGGGCCAGATTGGGGGTGAGCCTGTAGGAGTGAGACTGGGGCAGCATGAGGGCCACCATCTCCTTGGTGGCCCCACCGCCGTCTCAGGCAAGGGTCTGACAACTGACCTACAAGAAGAACTCACACAAATGTCTCAAAACCACATTTTGTTTGTTTGTTTGTTTGTTTTTTGGAGACAGAGTTCCATCTGAAAAAGGCAGGAAAACACAAAGGTGGGGGGCTTCCAGGTTATAGGTGGACAAGAGACAAAGGATTGCATTGTTTTGAGTCTTTCATAAGCCTTTCGGTGAATACACAATTGACTTGTGAGTGGGGGTAGAAGAATAGTGACTTACTCCTTAGTGTGGCTCAGTGAAGCTGCATTTTACACAGGGCAGAGGAAGCAATCATATAGGTATTTGTCTCAGGTGAGCTAAAGGATGACGCCCTGTCCCAACCCTAACCCTAACCCTAACCCTAACCCTAACCCCTAACGCTAACCCTAACCCTAAAACCCTAAGCCTAACCCCTAACCCTAACCCCTAACCCTAAACCTAACCCTAACCAACCCTAACTGTAACCCTAACCCTAACCACCCTAACCCTAAAACCTGACCCTGACCCTGACCCTCACCCTCACCCTGACCCTGACCCTAACCCCTAACCCTACCCCTACCCCTACCCCTGACCCTGACCCTGACCCTAACCCTGACCCTAACCCTAATCCTCACCCTTACCTAATTTTTTTTTTTAATTTTTTTTTTTAAGGAAAGCTATAGCTATTCTGGGTTATCAGATTCTAGTCTTGTTTCTTGTTTTGGGGCTATTTTTACCTCTTTGTAAACTGGATCCTGCCATCTGATGAATTTTGTCCCACAATGATACTTGTGGAATAAGAAGCCAAGTATTGTCTCTCCTACTAATGTATCTATTGTCAGTTAATTTGAAAGTCTCCAACCCTGGAACAAAGTTAGAAGAGGTAAGTTTTGCTCCCCAAAATGCATAACCAAACTGTGGTACATTCATGCAATGGAATACTATTTAGCCATAGAAAGGAACAAGCTATCAACTCACACAAAGACATGAGTGAATCTTGTATGCACATTGCTAAGTGGAAGAAGACAGTCTGAGGAGAATACACACAGTGTGACCTCATTTAATGAGACACTGCAGAAGGCAAACTACACAGATGGAAACCATTGGCTCCATGGGGTGGGAGTTTGAAGCATTCCATATGATACTTTAATAGTGGGTACCTACCACAATGCATTGGTCAAAATACGCAGAATTTTACAACCAAATGGGTAAATCAAACTCTATTCAAATTAAATAAAATTACTCAGGATGTGGAGTATCCTAGAACAGAATACATCATGTGAAAAATAATGTAACTATGCTACAAATTACTATGATTTGGATGTGGTTTGTCCCTGCAAAAACTCGTGTTGAAATTTGACCCCCAATGTGGCAGTGTGGGGCGGTGGGGCCCAGTGGAAGGTGTTTGGGTCATGGGGACGGATCCCTCATGAATAGATTAATGTCCTCCATGGGGATGAGTGAGTTCTGCTCTCACAGGAATGGATTAATTCCTGCAAGAGTAGGTAGTTAAGAAAAGTCTGGGTTCCTTGGCTTCCCTCTTGTTTCGTTCTTGCTATGTGATATCTGGTGCACCCCTTGCTCCCCTTCCACTTTCCACCATGAGGTGAAAAAGACTGAGACTCCACCAAATGCAACTGCCCAATCTCAGACATTCCAGCCACCAGTATTTTGAGCCAAAAGGACCTTTTTTACTTACAAATTACCCAGCCTCAGGTATTCTGTTACAGAAGCACGAAACAGAGTAAGACACAAATGTAGGAAAAAACTCAATGAAGATGTAGGGAAAATGGTGTTGACCTAAGTCACTTTGAAAATGAATAGAATCCGTATGCTGAAGGCAAACGAACTATACTTCATCACTGGATTCTATTTTATAAAGTTCTTTCCAACAGAAGCAATTGTGAACAATTGTAAAACCACAGTATCTGTATCTGGAATAAAACAATGACTTCCATAAGTCACAGATGGTAGGAACCAGGTCTCTCACTGTTGAAGTGGGAGGTTACAAATTACAAGGGGAGAAGGCTAGAATGATTCATTGATAGTAGATCAGAGGTAGAGACATGAATGAAAACTTATGTTTAGTTTAATATACACACAGTTCTACATAGAAAACTTTATAATTAGGTGTGTATAGGTAGGTTAGACACACACATATACTTCCTAGCATTGCTAATGAGGAAAAAGTGCTCATTCAACAATGTGCTCATTCGGCAGCCAGATGTAAGTTTTCCTACCATTCTGAAAGGAATCAGGCTCTTTGAAGA